CACGTAGCAATTACAAGTTTGATAATATCCTTCGAGTATAAGTAAACTTGGAAACTACCCCACAATTGATAACGAGTTACTCTACATGCAAAAATAAATTGAAAATGTAGCACACAATTTTTTTTCTTTGAAGCCCTTGTTTTCGAGAAAATAGAGTTTGAATAGGTTTAGTCAAGAATTGCAGACTTACTCAACTTTTCAAATCCGATTTTTTCCATAACGTGACTTGGGGCGAAAAAATGTTAATTTACGTTTTCAATATATTTTTATACGCGGAATAAATATATTAAATATGGCATGCGTACGAATAAAAATTCGTTTTATTTTAACTTCGTAACGTTTTATAACGTGTTCTTGTATGAAAGAAATAATAAATAAATGTTGGAAAGGAAAGCGGGTGTTCCTAAAAAATCTATGCTTATCAATTAAAAACGATTTCCATAAAAGTAATTATACCTGACAAGACATGATGAAGTAGTAGGTAATTTTAACAAATTAGCATAAGACATAGATGTGAAGGTTACTATGTAATGCACCACTAGATTTTTCCAAGAAAAACAAATTCATCTTCTTGTGAATTGTGCAATGTTGTTTATTACATGTTATACACTGCATCGCTCTATTCAGAACAAAAAATATTTTTCTCAATCTGCAGTTTAATATAGAACCATAAAAGTCAATTAAAAGGGTAATAAATCAATACATACGAAAGTTAAGTTATTTGAAATATTGCAAATTACATAAAATCCATGTAACATTTTTTTCTCTCTTGCACTGTTAATAGCCCATTCAAAATGCATCCATGAATGAAAAAACTATAACTAATTGAACCATAAAATAAAAGGTAGAACAATATAAATAATAATAAATAAAATAGTATAAAATAAGAAATCAAATAAACGTACAAAGTCAATTGATCAAGTAATATGATGGAACTTCACAGAATTAGATAAATAAATCTCAAGAAAATCTCGTTGAATGCAATGGAAATTATTGTGTATCATAAATTGATCACACATAACTTAAAAACGCAATAACTTTTTGCAAAACCTTATATATATGTATATTTTCAAACGAAGTATAAAAACGGCTATTCAGATCCGTTGAATCTAATTGTGCGTGGCTTTTTTAATATATTTCCTTGTTTTTTTCCTCTTTTTTTTTATTTCTGGTCGGTGACTGTATATATGTGAGAGGAGAAGACAGAACAAAGAGACGGGAAAAACGAGGAAATTTGTTTCGACAACGGCGATGCATTAGTGATGCAAATGAAGTTACGTCGTTGTCGGAATTTTTATGTGTTTTTCCACGCTGGCCAGAGCAAATTTTTTGGCTCGCTTTCAAACCGTGACCCGTCGTGTACATGGCGAAATCATCGACCGTAGGGTTGGTTTTATTTTTTTTTTTCGCCCTTTCTCTATTTTCCCTGCCTGGTCGGTGTCTCGTATTCGCGATTTCAAACATTATTCGAATAACCTCGAAAAATTATGGGTGGCCGAAAGAAAATTTCGGCCAGACGTTGTATACGTTTAAGTGAATTCGATTGAAATTCATTCGACGCTCCGTTTAAATTGTATGTATGGAATTACATTTATCACGGGAATTTTACAGGAATTGCCCGAATGGTCTGATCGGAATTTATGAAAGGTTTTAATGAAAACTAGCGATGGGTTCAAACACGTGCGAAGTTAGTGCGAACATCGGCGAATAAAATTTATTTTTAAAAGTTATCAGCCAACAAAAAGATTGACACCTGCAAGAAAATAAAAAAAAAAATTGATATTTAAATATTTGATATTGTAAAAATACCAATCTCCAAATATTTAAGATTCTAAAAAATTCCAATCTTATAGTAAATATCTTGTTACTTCCACATACATTGCCATATTGGTTTTACATTGTACCAATATAATCAAACAACTTGAACCAAAATTAAGTAATGTAACCCTAAATTGTTATAATCCCCAATGGGTCAATGATTAGTTAAGAGTTAAATATCGCGTGTTGCTAGATTGGAAAATAACGCGTTTATACAGAATCAAATATTGTACATCTCTGGTGCGTTTGCCGCCTCGTTAAATATACCTTCGCGCGCGGAACGTTATCTTTCTGAAACATTGGAATCGAATGCAATAAATCAAAAATAACATTTTTTATTCAATTCATTTATTTTAAAATAAATACGAATTAATTTCCTGATTGTAATCCGGTAAAAAATATCGACTATCGCTGCACGCGTGTTTCGATTTTGATAAAGCTTATTAATCGAGATTCTGTGATACAAATATATATTTAATGCAAATTATATTTTTAAATTGGAATACATTTCGTAGAAATTATATTTTTAAATTGCAATAGGTTAATTTAGTAAGAACTTCGATTACGAATAATACGAACTCAATTCATTGGTTTCGCGCTAAGCTGGTTGTAATTCATGTATGTCTAATCCAAAGCTAATTCACGCTAATCTATACTTAACTCCCCTACCAGACCTATCCTAAATTAGGTTAACTTTGAATCCAAGCGCTATCCCGCTCAGATCAATGTAAGATATGCATAAAATGTCGCATATTGAATCAGACCGATTTAAAATATACATAAAATGTCGCGTGCGGATTCCTCCCCATCTTTTTATTTTCTTTTTAATTCAAACCAAACCTAATTTACCTCCGATTTACGGTCAATCCCCTACGGTCAAAGCCCTACAGAAATTCCCAACTCTGAACCATTATTGTCAAACAGAAAAAAAGAAGATATTCCATTATAACGGAATAAAAATCAACAAGAAACGCTCGGCCGTATTTTTCCAAAAACAAAACGCAGAGGAGAACAAAACCTATTTCACGTGCATCTCTTTCTTTTTTACACGAGGGATCATCGGCGTTTCAATTAGACACCCCGTATACAATATGGCCGACAGCAATGGATACATAACCTTGCATTCGTTGTGAGCACGGAGAAAGTAAGGGGAAACGCAATACCGGTCGCAGGCATTATGAAGTCGTTGTAACGATGTATACATCTCCCCTTCTATGTGTGCATGTGTACGAACGTAGTTCGTGTCTACACGTGTAACTTGACAAAGAATGCAACCACGAAAGCGAAATGCACACGCGTATATAACGGTGGGGCGCGCAGACAAATGTCGATGGCGAGCAACAAGTGTCGAGGGGTCTTTACTTCTGACAATGAGTACAAAATCTGGCTGACTGGAATACGCGAACACAAGCGGTAAGAGAAAGGTTGAAGGGGCACGGTGAACTCGTCGCCAAAGCTTCCACATTCACAATTAGCGATCATGCAAATTCGGCTTTCTTTTCATTTACCATTTAACTTACTGTACACTAGCATATTGTAAATGTGTTCACGTATACAGTGATTCACAAAAGTATCCCAGCACTTGTGCTCACCTTTCATGAATAATACAGAAATCAAAAAACATTCATATGTTCAGTCAAAAAGTAATCTTCAAGTATGGTCCCGTTGAATATTGTGATTTATTAATTTAATAGATAATTTAAATATTGTTTAAATATTTTTATGGTCTGCGAGAAATATAACACTGGTGCAGCGGTAATAAAATCATTACAATGACGCACCCCTTGTGTTGTTAATTGATCGACGCTATATCCTTCTACTCCTGAAAATTTTCGCGCTACTAAGCCCGTTCTCGTAACAGACCGCGGGCTAAAGTTTGCCTTTCTCTTCACATACATAGAACTTTTTCCCAAAACTTTGCGTAGAAACCAGGAAAATTTCAAAATATTTCAAATGTTTTCTACAACCACTGTATATAACTGTCTGTGTTCGAGTACGCTGTGTATCTATACTCTGTTAGCGGACATTTACGCAGAGAGTTTTAATTCACAGCTTGTAACTGGTTTTAGTACGTGTGTCACGCGAAACAAGCATGAATCAGCCTACAACGATCGTAATTGATAATCAACTGGGAACGGGAGCAGTTAATGAGTAATTACGATAAGTGTCGCGCGTGGGGCGCTGTTAGTGAAACGCGGGAATTTCGGCCAGTTTCTTTCGTGCTTTGAAAGCGTTTGCCAAGAAACCTTGATCCTTATCGCGATCAGATATCACGCTCCATGCTTGGTGACTAACATGAGACCCTATGAAATTGAATTTGTTTACCTGAGTGCAACCGGTAATGGATTGATTAAGTGGTATATCCTTAGACACAGAATTATAAAATTATGGATCTACACGTGTTTACATGTATTTTAGTGTAACTGAGCTTCCGTGCTTGGTAATTTATTGAATAATGAATTTCGGGAATTATTAAGTTTAGTGTATTTTATAAAAATCAGTCACATAACGAATGTGATTTTATAAATCAAATTCGAAATTCAATGATAGAAAAAATCGTGATCAAGTCAACTTTTCGTCTTGAATTTTATTCGATCGCAAACGTTCGGTCCGGATCGTTTGAAGTTCCGTAGATCAAGCCTTATTCGAGTAGAACGGTTTCATTCAGAGATCATTTCACATTTCATTTGGCGGAAGATTCCTTGGTCCTCGTAAAATTACACGGAACCTTTATTCGATAAGTTTTTCACATTTCATTTCACGCAAGATTCATCGGTTCTCGTAAACTTACTTTCGTGGAATCTACCATCCGATATTTCCGTCTTGTCCCTTCGCGTTTCATTCGTCGCACATTCTTGTTAAGTTTCATAAAACTCGCGCGAGACAAGTGTTCGATAATTATGTCGCATTTAGTATCCGATCTCCTCTTCAATCTCCCTTGAGATAATCGAACGTGATGCTGTGCTTGATCATTTGTACGTACAAGATGTTTCAAAATGGAGATGGAAGTATGTATATCGACTTTCATCGATCTCACACATTTTATTTTAATTGAGACAAAAGAACAGAATTAGTAGAATATTCGTACAATTATATTAACACGATGTATAGGGCGCTCCAAAATCTCGACCCTACTATATTTTATTCTATACCTGATAAAAGTCCTAAAGAAAATAAATTACTAGAATTTTTTATGAATATATTGTATGATATATAGGAGGTTTCCAAATCTCGATTTCACATATTTCATTTCAGTCAATTCTTGTGCGACAGCTTCCACGTATGAAATCAGAACCGGATGGACATCTCATGGGTACTTCAATGATGCTTTGCAGAACATATAACTGTCCTGGGTCTATAGTTGTAGTCCTGATCCCTGTAGTCGCGTCTGTGGGTGCATCAAACATGGTTTCGGAGCCCGAATTCCGTGTATCGGTCTGGATTTTCATTTGCATTTCGGTGTTTTTCTTGATTTTCTGCAAGAGGAAGGGCAGCTCTGTTGTCGTCTCTCCCTGAGAGAGATGCATCAGTGCAACGAGCAGGAAGATAGCAAGGGAAAAAAGAGAGAATCGCAACATCTTTCTTGTGGTATCTTCTCGGATCTTGAAGTGGAAGTAAATTAACATGAAAGAAGAAAAAAAAATAGGATGAAAACGCTACAATATTATTTCCTTAGTGTTTTTATTTATGGAAAACCTTGTATAATAAGGAGGAGTTTAAACGTTGCTTTAACATCTCAATCAAGAATCTTCTTTTAGTATGAAATGAACAGTGCTTGATTTTTTTTAATATACAAATGGACGACCACTTCTAGTGCAAAAATTAATTTCATTTATTTTCGATTCGTGATTAACCAAATTCCAAAGGTAAAAATAAAAGTGAAAGTTTCAAACTGTTTTCACAGATCACAAATTTACCTCGAAACGTGTCTGTCCAATTTCTGTATACTGAACTCAGCTTCAAATTTTATGTTCACCTCTTCTGAAACAGCCTGTACTGCAACATTAACAGAACGTTACATAAAATGGGAACATATCTATGAGAAACATCAGTGATCGTAACTATTCATAATTATTCTTATTTAACCATTGTTAGTTACCTAACTGTCTATAATGATGGATTATTTCCGACAGATTAACGTGATACGTGCATTTTTACATTCTCTGAAATGCATGCATGTGTTAGTGAAAGATACAATACAATTACTTCGGAAATTGTATCTATTTCTATATATTGTGTACATTCTATGCATCTATTATTTTTAAATTTTTCATAGGCGCATAAAAATCTATAATCTAATAATACTCAATACTTCATCTTTAAAAAACCAAGCAACGAACATTAGATCGTTCGGAAAATTCGTAGCGAAATTTAAGAAAAAATGAAAAACAGCCTATTTCCGTAGAATCAGAGCTTTTTCTTTAAAGAACGTAATTTTTCCCTTCGCCTGAAATTATATTTTTGGAAAATATATCAATTTATGCCGAATAAACTAAACGACACGAATTTTCCAATCAACTCAATGAAAATCATACTTTTTAAATGAAAAATTTAAGATTCAAGATCTGTACCTTATGAAATAGCTTATAGCGTGAAAAACCAGACCGACGACTAGACCACCGCTATTGATGAAATCCAGTTGGTGTACAAAACCGCGTTGCTGAACAATTATTCGACGATTTATTACCAGGAAGCGTTTTTCTCCCTAACACGTCGATGACAAACACAACAACGCTTCGCTATGACACCCGCGAGACTATAGGATCACACCTCCATAACTTTTCAGCATTGTGAATTGAAATAAAACAAAGCATAACAACACGTAGTATAGCGTTCACGAGCGGTGTAAACCGTACAAAAGCTACAATCACTCTGAGAGATTACGACTAGAGAACGATGATTAAATAACCAGTTTCCCATTCGTTGAGACGACACTGATCGGGTCAAGAGTATGCTCCGTTATCTGCTAACGGGAATTTGAACGCGATGGATTATTTTGTTAGATATCTTTCTGACCTCGTTTTTCAATCGTCAAGTTCTTGTCGGTCACGACTGACTTTGTTGTGAAATTCTATTTCTTTTTTGTGTCTTTCTTTTTCACATGTGTGTCAGGTTATTTATTTGTATATTGGCTCACGATATTTCATTGAAAATTTAGAAAATTTAAACACTCGCGATATATAGATGCAAAATGTGTACAAAAAATAAAAATATATAAAATATCTAAAGTATAACACTCATTGCGATATTTAGTAGGCAAAATTCTACTTAAGTTGCATTTCTTCCGTTGGCCACATGTTTTGTATTTCGTATGTTGAAAAATTGAAAATTCTGGGGCGGTGTTTTTGTTGTAAAACGCAGCATATTGTCAACAAGTTTCCTCCCTTATGTTATTATTCTTTGTCCAACGCCATTTGGTGTATTTTTGGTGACATTTTTAGTAGATGAGTGTAAATGATGATTGGAAGAAACGCGAGGCTTTCTGGTTATAGGATTTACTGGTCCTAACTTCTGCACGTGGTTCCAGGTTTCAAGATAGTAACATAGTGACTTGTTTTTAAGGATAAAAGTGACGAAGATGCTAGCGAATTGACAAGACATAGTTAATTGTAGCTGACAGGTTTATATTTGGTACTTGTAAAATTTCGCTCCTTTTGTTGTCATCTTCTACCGATTATAAAAGACAAGCGAAGAGAAGAGAAGAAATTATTGGTAATTTATAACTTTTGATCTATAAAATCTCGTTACTAATATCGCACAGTTAAATTGTGCAAGAGGACTGTAATATTAAACGGAAGAGATCCCTACTTAATTTTAATTCTTTAATAATAAACATAAAAATATCCATTTACGTAAACATCCACCATGCACATAATAGTAATTTAATCAACATACAAAATACGTCCAATCGAGGTATTCCAAGTCATCAATAACAAACCAAAATTTCACTCCAAACATCGACCATATAAAACGCATGGAACACTCGACTCATTGAGCAATCAGGGAATCGTCTTTGTAAAAAATACTTACGACACTCGTGACGAAGGCTTAATCCGGAGCGTGATCGTTCCTTTTTTAGGAAGCATTCAACGCTGTCGGATAGTTTTTACGTTTAATTGGACGTGAATTGGCGTGGCCAGGGAAAGGGGAGAGCACGAGTGAGGAAAAAAAGAGCCTCGCGTGCTTTCACACGGCTCTCCTTTTCGCGAAGTTTACCGGCCGCTCTTTAAATATGTGCGGCCGACTTAAACACGCCACCGTAAAGACCGGCACGCCTCAAGAGTCCGCTCAAGTACTACTTTTCTTCTTCTAATCTGTGAGTAAGTTGTCGCCTTTGTGGCTACACGGTTATTATAATGCGCTCGCGTGTGGGTGCGACGTTTTGCCAAACACATGTACACTCTTGTCCATAAATCACCGTACACCGATTTATTTCGAGTATAATAATTGTTAGAAACAATTGTAACTAAATAATTGTTAGAATGTAGGTACGACTTTCTAGATTCACTTTGTTCATTCGTAAGTTACAGTAGAACTTACTGTTTATGCAAGCTCCATATATTTGAAGCAGACTTTAGTCAGTAGCCGATTACACGAACTGTTGCTTGTTTAACTCACTCATTCAAACGTGAGCTGCTACTGTACGAATTAAAAATCGTAGTGGAGTCAGTGGACACTTATCATATGAACGTCAAATGTATAAATTATTTGTCACCCAAGAAGTTCGTGTAAAATTTTGGAGTTGTGAAGCCTTACGGTGTTCTATCGAATTAAAATACGGTTTTATATTATAAAGTAACTATTATGAAATAAAATTAGCATTTACGTTAAATGTTGAAATTGCATAATGTCAAGCGTACTTAAGTTTTAACAATCGTTTTGCTTAAAGACAAGTGTCCCATGACTTATGGACAGGAATATACAGTTGAGGATAAACATAAGTGTACAGGTAGTAGAAGAATATAACTATCATCGACGATGAATAGTTTAAAAGAAACTAGCATAAGTGTCATGTACTTAAATTTTATTTATTTTATGTATTGTATGTATTATAGGAAATTAATATTTACATTTTTGTATCAAATTTACGTATATATTTAGTGAAACTTCATTGGTACCAATTTCCACTACCTGCCATTTAGTTTTGTCATCGACTGTATAAGTCTGGCAGGGTGCACACAGACGTGCTCCTAACAGCTTCATCTAGCGGACCGTGAAAAAGCTACAGCCCCGGTGGTTGCGGAAAAATTAAGGAACATTTATACACTTTATATTACGACGCGTGGATTCCTGCTCAAATTCGTACAGCTTGTAGGCTTAATACGTTGCTACTAGCGTTATGTACACTCCGGTTTATAAATATAAGAACATCTCTGGTTCCGTATAAAATATAACAGTTGATTGATATTATCCATGTTATGTCCAGCAATGACGTTAGCAATTGCATAAACTCAATATCAAAACTTATAGGAACGATTGCTATTGTTTGTTCTTTCGCTAACAATATGTCACGTGTGCGTAGCATCAATATATAGTTAGCTGTAAATTTGTTCACTTAGTGCAATTTGCAATAAAATTGCTAACTACGAACTGTAATTGTTAATCTATAATACAACATCGTCATAAAGTGAGATTTTAACCGAGGCATTGAAAGCAAAAGTGAAATAACTCAATACACAATAAACTAAATAATTCGCCGTGCAGAATAAATATGACGAATACATTAATGGAACTAATAAAATTATTCAGCATTTTCTTTTATCTCTTTAAAAACTGTGTAGAGGAATTGAAATTACACAAGCATAAATGATTGTTTTAATTACTGCCAGATAGCTGTTCTATCGTTCTTTCGATGAATGTACATTATGATTACTTTGCCTGAAAGCAATGAGAAAGTTTTTAACAGGAAACCAGACTCGTGAACTGGTCATCCACGGCTCGGCGATTTGCTGTTAAATATTAAATGCATAAGAACACGTTTCAGAGGAAGTTTTTAATAAAAGTACATTCTACTGGGAAATTTTCCTCTGTTTTTTATTCCTCGAAGCTCGATTAAACGCGCGCGCGCGCACGACTAGCCGGATTACCTTGAAAACAACTGCCGTACGAATTCACGCGATTTCATGCTTAAATCACGGAACGAAATAAAGGTGGAATTTATACAACTCGGTTACGTAAAGAAAGTGCGCGGTACATTAATCATACGATGTTTATATTTTACGTTTCTAAGAAATATTTTTGCAAATGTCAGTAACCATTATCTCTAATTACAAATAGAAGATAAAGTACTGATAAATATTGCATGTAACAGTCAATATTTAGCCTAATGAGTTTTATGTGTAAATTTACGAAATTGTTCAATAATATGCGTATGAAATATGCATTTATTCATCAAGAAAAAGATCATAAATTTTCACCTAAGAAATGTTGTACACAGTATACGATTAATAATTGAAATTAATCAGCGACTTTTATATTCGAATACACGACACTACTTAAACTACTAGCGATCATTCAAAATAGAAATATTCGAAATTTGCATTTAGAACTATAACATCGTTTATGAAAAGAAAATATCTATTTGAACTAAGTGGTCAACGGCTTTTATATTTGGACATACGAAATTATTTAAACTACGAATCATTCAACGCAAAAACATATGAAATTTCTTTCTACAAATATAAATATGTTCGTAAAAAGAAAATATAAACTTCCTAATACCTATTTGCACATTTTATATTTACACCACATACTAAACAAATTTGTTTAAACTCGATTTTCTCAGTAATATAGCGCCATAAGAAAAACTGTTTATACTGCACTTTCCACTTGCTTCCTCGCGTAGGGTCGTCCTCTTGTCCATTGTATCATCATTACTGCGATACTCTGTAGAACAAAATCTTACACCAAAGAATACACTAAACAGTATATTGAACAACTTAAAACCACGAAACCTCCTCGAAAATTCCCTTTGTCTCATACATACTTGTCGAAGG